TAAGACACAGTCATCAAAAGGACACCCGATGCAGTTATCACACGGTCATCAGAGAAGCACATGACAGTTATCACATGGTCATCAGAGAAGCACATGACAGTTATCACATGGTCATCAGAGGGACACACGAAAGAATTGTCACACCGTCAATGGGGCACACGACACAGTGATGACATGGTCATCAAAGGGGCACACAACACAGTCATCAGAGGGGCACAGGACACACACAGTCATCAAAGGATCACACAGCGCATAGTCATCATCACACTATTGCATGAAGGGTACTTTCAGTTAACTGATGGTGGCCCCACAGCTTGCTGATTCTCCTGTGTACCACCGCAGATCAAAAAACCACTGGCACTTTTGACCAGTCAGATCTTTTCTGACTGTGAATTCTCCAACATACCATGTCATATAGCTGATAGAATTGAATGATCACCCCTAACTATGCATGCATAAGAGTGGATGGCCATCCTCACGTAAACATAAGCTCTTACGTCACCGCATGGGTCAGACTCACATCATTACCGACGACAAGAAGGCAGTTGGGGTCTTGAAGGTGGAAGGTGAACGACTGGCTGGGGTGGAAGGGGAGCTGTATCTGTTTGAAGGACTCGCCCGCATCCATGGAAGTAAAAACGATACCTCCAGGTACATCGGTGACAGGGACGTCCACCGTGAGGATCACCTGCAGGGTTTTTGTGGGGAAAGGGCATTGCAATTAGAATGCTATAAGAAGACAGGGCAGAAGTCGCAATTACAACATCAGAAGGGCCCCATTTCAGTTCATGTAAGACACTTCAAAAGAGCTACCGATGACATTTCGTAACGACAATCCTCATTCTGACATTAATGAGACTGTCTTGCGAAAGAGTTCTTCTTAGGTGAACTCTTAGGAGAACTAAGATCTTCCATGACCTAAGAAGATCTACCACAACAAACAGGAATCGAAGGGCTTCAGCACAAGGCTCCGAGTAAACTTTATATTGCCATTTCTAGGCAACATTTCAGAATAATAATCCAGGTAAAAAAACGAAGTGTGCTAAAGTGCAGAAGTAGTGCTTTCCTTCGTGGCAGAATTGTGATGGTGTTGGAGAGTTTCAGCACTCTGAGACTGTTATCTGTGGTCAGGGTGAAATGACTGAGACAGCGGGTGACCACGCCAGGGGGCTGGGTCCGGCCACAGAGGCTTCCAATGCACCACGTAGCTGGAGTCTATCTCGAGAACATCTTTCACGCTCCCCAGCCAAGGATCGTTATGTGGGGGTGCATAAAACTCAGCTCTGAGGTCAATGGGTGCAAAGCCCTTCCTCTTCTGAGGAGTACACTGGACAGCTTGTATCCTCCAGCTGAGTCATTAACTAACCATTTTTTACCGAGATCTTGATGGAACATTAAAAATAACCTAAAATTGTCAAATCAAACATCATCATGTTAAATTATCGATAGTATTCAATTCATTTTTAATGAATGATTGCTTACTCTGTATTGAGCAGGTGTATAACCTATAATATAAATGCTTAATATGAATCAGTTACTAGTAATCTTTCCTCCTGCGTAGTTTACCTCATGGTATTTATGATAAAGGCTCTCAAAGCAGGACCCACATCAATACAAATTCATATACAGGAAGCTTTAGTACTCTAAAAATAACAGTTACAAAAGATCGTCTTTTTAAAATATCACCTATCTGGATGCCCGAGGCTCTTATAATAAATATACTGTAGCATTACCTGGTTGGAGGTCACAGGTCCTGTGCCAATGCCAAAGTCTTTCTGAATGAACGTGTTGTTTATGACATTAGAGATGTCATGGAAGGTCTTCCCATAATCCACACTGCCAGAGATTAAAAACAAAAGTTAGAATCAGACTTTATTATAGGATGTGCGAGCAATGTGCCGCCACAAGGACACACCATCTAGGCAAATTAAAGGAGCAGCACACTTTCAGTCCACCCCTGGGCTAGTTAGTGTGGTCAGCCTTCATTACGGTCTGTGTGTCTCTTAGATGTTACTAATCAATAGCAGAAATCACTTTGAACTGCAAAAAGACAACCATGCTATATGAACATTGACTGGGACTGTGCTGGACTGTATTATGCCTGTTGGAGCTTTTTAAAGGCTGGTGCTGATGACAACAACATCTCCACCTCCATCAGAAACCTCTTACCTTCTGTACAGCCTTGAGGAGCCTCCCTCGTAGACTATGCCAAAGGTGGACAGCACCAAGATGACCTGGAAGAGGGTTATCTGAGTTAGGGGTGAATGCTGGTACTATCCCTCTCTGAAATCTCCATTGGGGCAACTCTAAGTCACCTGACAAACGACATTCAACAGAGCCCTTGGCCATACTCTAGACCAGTGTTTCTCAACCCAGTCCTCAGCGAACCCCAGCCAGCTGAGAGGAAGCAAAAACGTGGACTGGCTGGGGTTCGCTGAGGACTGGGTTGAGAAACACTGCTCTAGACCAAGGTCTAGCAAATGATAGTGGCCATCAACACTACCATGTATGTAGGAGGTTTCCAGGAGGAAGAAATGCCCTTTCTGAAAGATTTTACCCATCAGACGGTAACCCCTGTGTAAATGCCATCCATTTGTAAACATCAGGATACATCTTATGGTAACAGTGCAAAAGCCAGGCAAGAAGACCAAGCTTAAAGCTGTGTGTCTGGGCAGTAAGTAAACATTTGCTGAAAAACACAGCACCTTAGGATGTAAACAAATAAACAGAAATACAATAAAACACAATCAGAATTTCTTCCATCTTTCAACAAAGTTACTGGTGTCTTCTTGGATGGCTAGACGGACAAAGCTGTGGTTCCCAAACCTCTCCTTGGGGGAAGAGCTGCATAAACGGACACTCTGTCACAGACATAAAATCTCACACCAGCATAAACATAATTCAAGCATAACTTTCTTTGGAGCCTAAAACATTGCCCAGTAGACTGGATGACTAGAAGAAGAGATCTCAGTGACTCAGAGAGAGAGGATGCTTGATTGAGACATGCTCAGGAAGAGCTCTAGTGAGAGATGCTGCTGCTAATCTTTCACAAGAAACTGTCCCCAAGATAAGGCAAAGAAATTATCAGCTCAGTACAACGGTAGAGGTCAGTGAACACTCTGCAACCATGACCTCTGCACAACTCAGCAAGGCCAGACAGACAGGAAGCTCTGGAAATGACTGCAGACCTCAATGTGAGGCTTAGTAAAACTTCTTGGCAGGTTTGGCACAAGGGCAACTTCTCAGAGGGAAGCTTTTGGTTACTGCTGCTTCACTGGTGTGAAGAACACAGCTAGCGGTTAAGTGAACAGCAGATGAGTCAGACTTCCCCTTATTTCAACTGGAAAACAGCACACGATACATGTCAGAAGAAGCCTACAGCTTGGAGGGTTTGTTCCCCTCAGTGGAGCGTTCTAGTAGTAATGGGCATGTCTTTTCCCGTCATGGTTCAGGTCACCTTAAGCAATTAAACCAGGGGTAGCCAATCTTGTCCGCAAAGGGCCAGTGTGTATGCGGGTTTTTGCTGCAGCTCCCTAATTAGATTACTAATTAGAGGACTGATTGGCTGAAGAGTCCTCACACCTGGGTTTGAACAGCTGACCTACTGTACAGGTTATCCCAAAAACCTGCATACACACCGTCCCTTTGCCGATAAGATTGGCCACCCCTGGTTTAAACAAAAGACTTTTCAAAGTCACCATGGTCATTTTATGGTGAATCACAAGTCTGATAATCTGCCATCTGCAGGACACAAGTGATCAGCACACAGATTGATTACAATAAAATGAGCCATAATCACTGGCCTGCCCAGCCCCCAGATTCCCACCTGCCTGGCCGGCTGTGGGAGATTCTTTTATAATGCTTGACGCAGCAGTTTCCACCACCATCAACACAACGGCAAATGCCGGAACGAGCATGTTAAGAACGCTGCCTCATGTCGCCAGAGATCACCCTACGAACACGCTTTATGTTTGCATAATCTTCGTTTTGGTAGGTATACCTGTATGTCTCCTACGTGATGCGGCGACGCTTCTGAACAGATGCAAAAAAATCACACTAGTCGCAACACAAATTATACAGGTGGCCGACTGAGGAATAAAAATCGGCAGGAGTGACAGGGCGAAGGGTACTGGGTAGGAACCTGATAGATTTGTTGTTGTGGGGTCACTTCACGTGGGAACCAACGACTTTCATTTCTCCTTTAAAGTTGGAGCAGGTGCGCATTTCAACTTACTGAAGAATTATCTGTTTCATTAAAAATAACAGCATTACATAACACCCGGGAAAGTGTGAAATTCTATCAAAGCTACGTTTTCTGCACTATCTACACATACAAATGCGTCAAGTGGGAACTAGGCGACACCTGCACTGGCGCTACTGGTTAACGCACAGTTGTAAGTTTCCGAACATTTATAAAAGAGACGGGATGAGGATAGGCGCCTTACCCCCGTGCCATCTCCCACCCAGGACAGCGTGAAAGTGGAACCGTCATCGCCGTGGAAAGGAGTCTAGGGAATGAAACAAAGCTTACAATATAACTAAAAATGTCATCTAAAAATTACTCGATCTCTCAGAGCATATTAATCCTCTCTATATTAAGTGTCATCAATCAAGAAATAATAAAGCCACTTTACCTCATGGGTATTCTGGTCCAGCGTCCTCCTGTCATTTTCAGCAAGTGTTAGCTGACACGCACTGGCCCCTGCGCTCTTTAATCCGACATCCCTTCTGGGCCGGTTCCGGCTCCGGCTCGGCTCTTGCTGGCTCCTGCTGAAAGTCGCCGATCTCCCGTGCGCTTGGCGCGACCCTCCAAGGCCGCCTGCAGCATAAAGGAGCATCAACCCAAACAGGACCAATAAGCTCGGCGTCATCCTGATGGAGGTATGTGGAGATGAGTCTGGTTTTCAGAGAGAGAGCGAGTGAGGCGTCTTAACTGAGTGGCTCGGGAGGGGGTGGAGGAGACCCATATGCTGTAAGGGCGATATACACACCCACGCTCCCGCCCCCCTCTGCGGGCGGCTGTACTTTAACTGACACAGCCGTTTGCCTTCCGCAAATCAGCTAGAAAAGCCAACAATAAATAGATAAATAATAAATAAATAAAAAACCGACACCGGTACTTACAAGTGACAAAGGGCAAGCTACAGTATATTGCAAGCTCGAATTCATGGACTGATTTTTCTCTGTTAGCGGAATCAGAACTCACTTTATTGCTATTGTGTACGAACATACCATTGTTTGTGGTCCAGTGTCAAACATGAATTACATAACAATCTAACAAGGCACTCTTCATAGAACACTACGTGCAAAAAAACATGAATACAAAGAGGAGTACAAAAATTTACAGATGATGAATTTAAATTTATTGTCTATCTAATCGTCATCTGTAAATTTTGTACTGCTCTTTGTATTCATGTTTTTTTTTTGCACGTAGTGTTCTATGAAGAGTTAGTTAACATTAGAACTAGTTCAAGAACCAAGAGCGGCCATTGGCCTATTTTAGGGGGCTGTAGCCACCCTTAAAATGATTTTTAACCCCCTCAAATAAATGTGTAGTTACTGGCTTAAGGCATGAATAGCTTTTTGTATTATATATGTTTGCCATTGCCCCCCTATCCATTCATCTCTAACTATGCCTTTACAGTGCAAGTTGAAATGGTGTTTCATGTATATACTACTATGAAGGAAAGAGGGGCATTGTCCCTGGGATGTGATGGATTACTGTTTGAGACATGCGAGTTTATTTACACTATCAAGAAAAAGGGACCGATTTGTACCTTTGGGTACAATTACTTGTCACTGGGGCTGTACCCTCAAGGGTCTGCCGTTTGTACCCTAGCTGTAGGTAAATGAGGTAAATGTACCTTTTAGTATAATTTAAGGTACAGAAATGGACTCTGGGGAATGTTTTTGCACCACTGGGGGTACCTTGTTTGTACCTCGGGGAACAAAACTACCAGGGTGGCGCCTTTTTTCCGTTAGCGTGGCGGCTGGCCAGCTGTGGGGATGAAGCTGTGGAGCTGGTGAGTAGAGGTGGCTGCTTGGGATGGTGGAATCAGCAGCAATCTGCTCAGTCCTTCTCTTTGCCCTATAATCAGAGCTGTTGTCAGGTCTATAAAGCCCCCCTAAAATGTTTTTTACCCCCCTCCCACGCAAATAAATGTGTTTATTTTCTTGTCATAAATAGTTCTCGATCAGTGCCCCCCCAGTAAAGACTCACCCCACCTTTTCATTCATCTCTAACTACGCCCCTGCCTATAATTATTATACATATGATGGTTTTAAAAATATATCATCCTATATAAAATATATCATTTTAATATAATAATAAGTTAGTGTATTTGCAAAATTAAATACACGAATTCGTTAATCTCGATTTCATTACAACAACAAAAAAACAATGAGACAACAGCGACCTCATTCTGTTTCCACGGGTCGTGCAGAGGGGATAGACGGAGGCGGTGTGCCACTCCAGTAGGAGGCGTCGCAGAGTCACGCTTAAGTTCATGCTCGCCTTGGTTGTAATAAATGTGGCCACCAGATGGCGCTTATCCAGGAACTGTGTAGGAACAGCCGCTCGTTACAATCTCTCCATACCATTTTATTGATGTACTTGTGTTACCGTTCTTATAGATACGAAACAGTGTATCATAACTTCTTGGTTTATAATGTATCTCGGTACCTATGTTTGTTTATTTATTTGTAATATTTAGGCATAATACTAGGCTATATCACGGAAGTTATAATGTTTAGCGCCGTGGATACGCACTTCCGCAGCCCAGTGTTATAATACTAAAATACTTACGTTGTCGTTCTGAACATTATAATACGGAGGCGATGTTGCTTTATTTGTTTTATTAATATATCGATCTGATATTATAAGGCGGAGAGCCCGGGAGTTCCGCAAATTATTACTTCATTAAGTTAGTTTATTTGTTTTGTATATAATATTATACGGCGGAGCACTAGGCGCGCACTTCCGCGGTCCCGCAAGCCGCGCCTCCGCCGGCGTAAGTTCCGCTCCCGTGGTGCATCGCGCCGGAATCATGGACCAGGCTGGTAAGCGGGCTTTGGGGTGGCCGTAAGCCGTATCTCCCTTTCTGTTTTTCGCGCTTGTAGCTCGGCTGCACAGCGCGTCCTGGCCGCCGCCGGTGCGCTGCTCGCTTCCCCGGCGCCGCGGGTTGTCTCCCCGCGGAGCTCCGTTGCACCACCGAGGCCGCTTTTTATCCGGTTAGCGGCCCTGTGAGCGCGGATCGGCCCGCGTCCGGCACAGTAACGGAGCCGCACCGCGGGATCCCTCACGAATAAAGCGGGTTTAAGGATTAAGAAAGACGGGCGGTTCGCCGGGACCGCTGTCCCTAACTCTATCGCTTCCTTAATAAAAATACAGGGAAAATGTCAGGTGTTACAATAATTAGTAATAGTAGCATTAGTCTCCTTCATTTATTTTTTTTTGCAGTGTATATGAATTTGGCCTTTTGTAACCCACTTCTGCTCCATTCGCGGTGCCTCTCTTTTTGGAGCAAAATGATTATGGTAATGGGTTTAGGATGGATGTCAGATCGCATGCTTTCCCGTTTGATTAATTTCGGGACGCCCCCTTCCGTCCAGACGGCGACTTGCAGGGCACGGAGGCCTCCGGAGGTCTGGGGGGGATCGACGTCCGCAGACGGATCCCCATCAAGCTGCTGTCCAAGCAGACCATTCGCACGAAGCCCGCTGCCGCCCGGACTCTGCGGCCCACCGGGAGGCCACCGGCCAAGGGCGACGGTAGGAGGGGGTGTGTCTGCGTCAGTGTGTGTGTTTATGTCTGTGTGTGGGCGTCAGTTTGTGTGTTTGTCTGTGTGAGTGGGTGTGAACATGAAAATAGCGTTTCTAGGTTTATATTTACTACACTGTGGGTAAAACTTGCAGGGATGTAACTAGATCTTGTACAATGGAGTTGCCAGACTAGACCCAGTGATTATACTGGGGTGGCAATTGAGTAATAATTTGGCACCTGGGCGGGCTGCCGTCAGTATATTTTGCCGATTGGTAGATTAGATTAGATTAGATTAGACTTTATTAATCCCACAATGGGGAAATTCTTTGAGAAACAGCAGCAATAATGAAAAAAGACAGTACAAAAAAAGGACAGCTCAGATTCACAGAATTAAATGTTCCAGATTATGTTTTTTTGTGTGGAGTGGGAAATGGGGTGGCCATGTATCTACTGGGGGGGTCTTGGCCACTCTTTAGATCCACCCCTGAAAATTTGGCACTGCTTGGTACATTGTCAGGTCCCCACAGAATAAACCTG